TATGTAATTTAATATGTCAATTTTCGGGAGACTTGATTCTAATAAGTGTTAATTCTTTAATTCTAAGTAATAAAATTTAGCAAAATTTAAAGGCAGTATATTGTTTAAAGAAGACTTTAGATATTTTGGACTTGGCACACACAAAAAAAATGTTATATAACCATTTTTTTTCTGGATATAATCAGGAAAGTACCAGAAAGGTCAAGTCCATCTCCTTTGTTTGAATGTACCCAATGGACTTATCTGGAATCCAAACATTCAAACGTTTGATAGGCTGGAGTTAAATCATTAGTCTTGCAGACTGCCAAAATCAACCAACCAATTGTTTTGATGACTGGAGATTTGAACTATAACAGAGCCACTTAATTGGGACATGAAAATCAAAACTGGTGAAAAAAAAGTGAATTCAATTTTTCTACTGAGCATAATTTATAACTTTGATGAAATCAAGAAATTAAGGGTAAGGTGTCTTACCCTCTGGATGTTGGACTCATAAGCAATTTTTTTTTAAACTGAAAGTAATTTTTATACTAACAAAGAAAATCCACAGGGTATTTTTAAAATAAAAATTCGCCTTCTTGTTTTTTTTCCCTATTTAAGAAAAATCGATTTTGTTTGAATGGTTGTTAGAAGAGCTAAATTATGCCTTACAAAACAAACTCATAGAGTGTTTTTGCCATTTATGGTGCAAACATGTAGAACGGGAGTTATACGAATTAGCTTGTTTTCCTTAAGATTCTTTTTTGGTCCTTTCCTCCTCAAACTCTTTTCTCTATTTTGACACTTGCTGGCCACAGTTAAGGAGACCACATGAACTCTTTCATTTATAGCCACTCTTTGATCTCTAATAACATGAATTTCTAGGAAAAGGGAGGTAAAACATGGTTATTCTACAGCAATTGCCACAATGTTAAGTTCTGGAGTTGCAGGCTCTTAACTGAAATGAAGAATTTGAAAGAGTGGGGAAATGTGGTCACAGAGTCACCTAGAGAGGCAGGATAAAAGAAATCCTACATTAGCACTCTGAACTGAAAAGAGAATAGAGTTCAAAGATTAGGGAATCCATAGCAAATTCCTCTATTTTAATGTGTTTCCTAGAATTTCTTGTTTCTGCTTCTTTTTGTTATCAAGAGTTTTATAGAAATGTAACTTCTTATTTTTAGTCCCCTAAAAATACATATTTTTCCATACATGTCATTTATTCATGATATGTGTGACTATCATTTATTCATTCATAATGTTATTTTCACTAAATGTCAAAGCACCTACATTTCCTAAATTACATATTGCTTGTTACTTTTATTCCATCTTAAATTCTGGTGGCATAATTTTTCCACCACTCATTTTACAAGTTGCATCTTTAGTGCACTATCTCCAAACTCTCACTATCAAATTAACCTCGGCTTGGTTTTATTTTGTAGTGTTCCTGTAACAAGGTTGCAAACTGAACAGTTGGAACAACAGGCTTTGTTCCCTAGATTTTCAATAATGAAAAGAGAACAAAGATTGTTTTCAAAGGCCGATTTTTTTTGTATCCTGAGAAAAGAATGATTGAAAAAGGAAATGAAAAAGAAAGCATGTCCTCACTACATTGTTATCACTGACTTTACTCCAGGGTTCAGCTGAGGGCTCAAGGCTACTGTCCTAATTAGCACTTCCTGTCTGTGCACAGATCCCTAGTGTGCATAGCAATCACAGTCTTAAAACACATCCAGAATTCCTTCTTGTTCTGTTCCTCCAAGTGTTGAAATAGGTAGTCTTAATTTATTTCCCAAAACAGTGTTTTCTCACTGAATTAAAGTGCCAAAGAATGCTTCACCTTTAATAGCCTATCAACAGAATCCTAACCTTCATCATCCAAGGCTAGTAATTGAGCTTTAAAAATGTGGAAGCATTTAGGTGAAGTTGATGTTACCATAGTACAGAATCACTATGAACTTTTTGTGTGCATTTCTTGTAAGTTAAACTTTATCACATGCTAATATGCCTGGTTCCACTTCGCACATTTGTATTCTGGTTGTTTTGTCTGATTCTGAAAAGTGGTTAGATGTTTGTTCCATTAGAAGCTCTTTTGGTGAAATGCACTACCAGTCACCCCATTCTTTCAAAATTTGCAGATGCTATAAAACTTTTCATCAAAAGCAACCGTCACCACTGAAGAGTTCTAAGCTACATAGAGAGAAAATGAGTAGGTTAAGAACTTCACATCACCCCATTTTACAGCTTACAAAAGCTCAGGGTAAGAAAATGAAGAATCTAGGTAAATGATAGAGCAGGGATTTGATTCCACAACTCTAATCAGTGATTAGATTGTTGGGGCTCGCAGAGTCTACAATTTGAAAGGCACCTCCAGGGTGAAGAAAGCATGGAAGGGTTGGAAGTCTTGATATTAGTCCCTGGATGGGTCTATACTTACTGAGTTACTGTTTCCTGTTTCCTTACTGTCAATAATTTCTATCTCCATCAATAATTTCTACCTCATAGCAATGTTGAAAGGATTCCAAGTGAACATATAGTAACCACTAAGTATTTTATATGTCATATTGCATCCCAGCTCTCAAACAAAACATGTGATGGCATAGTTCTCATATTTTCCTCATTTATATTATACATCTATACATCTCCTTGGGTTGCAGTTCAGAGCCCTCTCTGACTAAAAGTATTCAAGAGATGCAGCCCACTTTCCAAGTTGCAAAATATTGTGGCTCACAGAGTCTACAGTTGGGTGGATTCTGAATTGATTTCCATTTTTCTACAGTATCAGGGTGCTCTTTGCCAGTTATTTTTCTTGATACATTTCCATAACTTTATCCTTCTATTAGTAAACTCCACATTCCACTCAACCCACTAGTACTTTTCAAGAGAGGACTCAACTAGTCTTGTTATTTTTCATTAATCTGTAATAGAGCATTTCATTGCATTGGAAGGAAGGTTGCAAAAGATAAACATGTTGCTTGTAGTTTTAAAAACATGATATTGCCTTGCCCAGGACCAGATGCCCATGCTCTGGCCACTCACAGCTCCCTTTTGTCCAATCCAGCTTAGATCCAGGATGGATGGTAATCAGCCACAACCCAGCTTCCTTTTCTAACCACCTTTGCTCCAGCTTGACTCCAGGATCTATCTGCTGCCACCAACCACAACCTCGCCTCTCTCTCTCTCTCTCTCTCTCTCTCTCTCTCTCTCTCTCTCTCTCTCTCTCTCTCTCCTCTCTTTCTCTCTCTCCTCTCTCTCCCCC